TTTTCCCAAATTTCACTGAATTTAATAACAATAGAGTCATCAAGACTGTGATAAGTGATCATTATTCACAAACCATTACAATACCTCTAATAGAACCAACTATAAACGAACACCAAAATAAACTTAAAATAGGTAAAGTCTTCTCAGAAAACAATATAATTAGATTTTGTGAAGAACTCAGTGAATGTAACTGGGACACAGTTTTTTCAGAGACTGAAGTTGATACTGCCTTTTCTCACTTTGAACTAACATTAGCAGAAAAAATAAATCGCATATTTCCTATCAGGAAAAGAAAACAAAAGGCCATTCCTTCTCAGTGGTGGATCACAACTGGTATAAAAACATCCAGTAAGAACAAAAGACTATTATTTGAAAAGGTAAAAAAAGGGGATATTTCTAAACAATACTACAAGAATTACTCTAATATTCTAAAACAAGTTATACGACAGGCAAAAAGAGCAAGTAATGAAAATTATATTCAAAATTCAGACAATAAAACCAAGGCAACTTGGAGTCTTATTAAAAAGGTAACGGGGAAAAATTTAAACAGCAATAGAACAATTTTTGAACATTTTAATTATCAAAGTGAGTTGCAGTTCCTTAACGATGTCAATGATTTTTTCTCAAATGTGTGTCCAGATGTGGCGCGAATGAGTAGCCAGCTCATGCTCTCGAACAATAACCCCATGCCTATGGCCGGCATGGTCTTTCAGCCAGTATCAACTCGGGAGGTAATTACAATTATTAAAAATCTTAAAAACAAAAAATCAACAGGGTACGATGAAGTCCCAATTTCTATAATTAAAGCAGCAGCTGATTTTCTATGTGAGCCGTTAGTGTACATCATTAATCTATCTATGCAACAAGGTATTTTTCCATCTAATCTAAAAACCACTTTATTAAAGCCGATTCACAAAAAAGGAGACCTAAATGAGCTAAAAAATTATAGGCCTATTTCTCTACTGTCAAACTTTAGCAAAATTTTTGAAAAAGCAATATATGCTAAACTTTTAAAATTTCTTGAGGAAAATGCATTACTCACTGAAAAACAAAATGGTTTCAGGAAAGGCAAATCGACGATAAGGGCTATCTACATGGCTTTAGATCGGATCCTGGAGTCTCGCAACCAAAACAACATCACCATGGCAGTTTGCCTAGACCTTTCTAAAGCTTTCGACAGTGTGGACCACGGACTGCTCTGCCGAAAGCTTGAGAAAATTGGCATATGCAACACTGCACTAAAATTAATAGTATCATACTTATCTAACCGAAAACAATGTGTTGTTGCACAAAACAAGCAGGGTGAGAAAATAAAATCAAATTTTTCAACAATCAAAAAAGGCATTCCCCAGGGTTCGATTCTCGGCCCTTTACTTTACCTAATTTACACCAATGAGGTTGCTGACATCCTAAATAATGAGGTCGTACTCTTTGCTGATGACACTACAGTCATCTGCTGCGAAAAAACCAAAGAGGCTTGCAAACAAAATGTCCAAGAATCACTTTTGATACTTCAAAATTGTTTCACTGATAATAACCTTCAACTGAATGTAGAAAAGACCCAAATTATAAATTTTAACTTAAGACATGACAAGACAAACATAGACTACAATGGCACTACACTATCAACTAAAGATAATGTGACATTTCTGGGGATGGTGCTGGATGAAAGACTAGACTGGCATGCTCACATCGACCAACTAGCAAAGAGTATGAGTAGGTACTGCTATGCACTGCGAGTGGTCAGGGACATGGCAGGGTGCTCGGCTGCACTGACAGCTTGCCATGCCTATGTGCAATCGAGAGTGAGGTATGGGGTGATCTTCTGGGGCGGAGTGGCGGAGGCAGAGAGAGTTCTCCTGCTTCAGAAAAGATGCCTGAGAACAATATTCCAGAAAAAAAATACAGACAGCTGTAAAAATCTCTTTGTTGATAATAACTTTCCGACAATTTTTAACTTGTACATTACAGAGAGTATCAAATTTATATCAGAAAATCCAGATATCTTTGACAAACTAAAATCTAATCATTGTCATGGTACTAGATTCAAAGACAATCTTAGAACTGAAACTGCTCACTTTACATACATTCTTAAAAATGTTAAACACAACATTCTCAAAGTCTGGAATGTTTTGCCTCCCTCACTCCGTATGCTACCATCAAGAGTTATCAACTGCAAAATTAAAACATTTCTGAGCTCAAAAGCCTATTACAGTCTGAACGATTTTTTTACTGATCAAGAAGTGAAAGATTTGAGTTAGATTTTTTTTTTTTTTTTTTAAATTGTTTTCTTTCTAGCAAAGCATAAAATTTTACTAATTGCCTAGATAAACATGGCACTCCCTGTGCGCTGACCCTGGAAGTGGTCGGAATGACCAGACTCTAATTATTTGTTCGTGAGGTGTACTTGTTTGTTTTTTTACTTAAATGTTTTTTTTTTTTATCTTAGATGTATGTGTTTATTTATTTTTTTTTGTACTAAATGTTTTTTAAGATTTAAGTACAATTTTTTTTTTATTGTGTATTGTAAATAATGACATGATCAACACCCTCTGGGTAAAATGTTCTCTACCAATTTGTAATTGTAATTGTAAACATATTGATCGAATAAAGAAATCTATCTATCTATCTTTATTCGGTTTTTTGGAAACGTTGGAAACTGGAGTATCTCAACACCCTACGACAGCATTCCAAATGGAATGATCCTTCGGTGGAAATCAAACTCAATTCTTTGGTTCTCATTAAAGAAGAAACCAAGTCCCCTTTATCTTGCTTGTTGGGAAGAATTATAGCCGTTCATCCTGGTAGCTACCGTAAAAACACAACATGGTTTTATTACTCGTCCAGTAGTGAAATTGTGTCCTCTGGCCATGGATGAACTTTGAAACCATTTTTTACAACCAAATTTTCTATGTTTTTTGTTTCGTTTATTTCTTTTCGTCATACCAATACATTATTGTGTTTTTATACCTTAGATACCATCTACATAATTCATTACTTTATGCCCGTGCGGGCATAAAGTACACATTATGGCCCGCGTGGGCATAAAGACGCAAAAAACAGTTTTCAATTAACTTATTCTTTATTAACAAAATATAAATTTACGCTGATAAACATATTATTTTTGTCAAAAAATTATGATGTTTGCACACTGATGACAATTTGCGAAGTGACACTTTTTTCCCAGGTATTTATTATTCACAACCAACTGGTATGACATAAAAGTTTGTATGCACCAAGGGTACTAATAGATATTTATTTACGACTAATGTATAATGTGCGTATTATATTTGTGATTTTGGCAGTATAATGACATATGTTATTCCTCCAGGGATTAATGACGAGTAGCGGGATTAATGGTCATTATTCCACAAAAGTGTCAGTGTCAAACGTGTAGTGCTTGTGGATTTGTATTGAAAATTATGAGACGGATGAAATTTGTTCATTGAAAATCTCAAATAAATTAATTTGTCGTAAATAAAGTAGAGTATACTACTCGCAATAATGGCTATTATTCCCTCGGAATGTTACTCCCTCGCCGCTAAGGCGGCTCAGTTCGTAATAATCCTCGGGAATAATAGCTATCATTATTGACTCGTGGTATAATCTACTAATATACCCTCGGGCGACTTACGAACCCTCGGGCCAGAGGCCCTCGGCTTTGTAAGACTGTCGCCCTTAGGGTTGCCAGGCGTTACGCATTAGGCGTGATTGTCACGATTTTTTAATGGTTGTCACACATCACGCCTGAGTATGCGCGTGACACGCTTTTTCATAATTTCATGTAAACGCTTTCTAAATAAATTATTTATTAGTTAAAAATAGACTTGCTTCAGTTGCTTCTTGCTTCCAACATTTATGTAAACATCGATTGAACAAGATCGATATTTCAAAAATATCGATAACTATCGCCCATTACTATTATTAGCGGACTGTCATTTGTCGAGGTATTGTGCTGTCAAGTGCGCAAGGCAAAAGTATTCGCGGTGCTTTCTGAACACAACGGTCAACGAGAACGAGAACGTGCCTATGAGCGTGAAGACATAGGTACCTTTTCATTTTATATTATTCCCAAGAACAGTTTTATTTTGTATTATTGATTACCTATATATCTAATTCACAGGCTAATCTTTATTAGGTGTGTAAAAACTGTTTATGTTTGATATTTCTCTAGAACATTTATAATTTTTATGGCCGTTTCCACCAACTATTTTAGGGAAACCTTAACGATAAGTATTCCCTAAACTGACAGTTTTCCATGGATAAATGTCAGTTTAGGGAATACCTATCGTTAAGGCTTCCCTAAAATAGTTGGTGGAAACGGCCATTAGTGACATATAAATAGACTTATACCAGTAATATAGAAACCGTGCGTTCGGTATTTTGATCTGAGTTCTCCGAGCTTGAATTTACCGTTCGTTTATTCAAAAAGTGTACTCGGTGCAGGCTCATTCACGTTCGTTTAAAATCTGTTTTTTTTTTAAAGATAAAAGTCAAAATGACATTATGTTGGCAATACAATGTAAAATTGTCAATGCTTTCAAATTTTTTATGTAGAAAGGGCTTGTGTTGCCAACACAGTTACTAAATTTTTGACTTGGGGAATTATCTTTAAATAAAAAACAAACTTTAATAAAATTTCTGGTACTCTGATACAGCGTTCAATTGCTCTGTTCGCTCGCTGGTAAGTAAATATGGATTCTAGTTCGGAATCAGATAATTCGATCGACTGGGTGGGTATGGAAAATGAAGTCGAAGATGAGGCTAACTCTGAAGGACCTGGAGAAGATACAGTTGAAAGGGGTCTGTCACTACCATCTTTCAAAAAAAGGGCGCTAGAAAATAAATCCTCATTTCTTTTAGTCAAATCGAATGTTAACTGGAAGAAACAATAATTTGACTGACTCTTGGAAGGAAACACTACAACGCAGGCTTACTGTCGATTGTGTAAATGTCAGTTTTCAGTTCGACATAGTGGTATGTACGATGTTACTTAGCACATGAAATCCGCTAAACATAAATCAAACATGCAAGCTGTAAAAGGCACGAGCGACATAAAAAAGTTTTTTTCTTCGTCATCAGATGACGCGAATTTACGGAACAGCGCGGCTATAGCGGAGTGTGCATTGGTCTTTCACACAGTCAATCATTCACATAGCTACCTTTCGTTTGATTGCACCGGAAAATTACTCTCGCAGCTATTCGCAGGTTCAAAAATTGCACAGAGATACTCTTGCGGGCGTACTAAAGCGACGCAAATAGCTAAGCAAGTTTTAGCACCTGAGACTAGAATGCGTAATATGAGAGATTTGGAAAACAATCATCCCTTTTCTTTGGCTACAGATGCCTCAAACAAAGGTAATATAAAAACATTTCCAATAATAATTCGGTACTTCAATAAAGAAGTTGGTGTTTAAACAAAACTTTTGAAATTCTATTCTACAGATTCTCTAAAATCTGGAGACATTGCCAACTGCTTAATTTCTCACTTAGAAGCTGCAGAATTGACGCTTACTAACGTTACTGCTTTTTGTGCAGACATGCCTCCGTGAATTTCGAAAAAAAGCAAAGCGTTCTAACTGAATTAAAAAAGAATAATCCCAAAATAATACCTGTTGGTTGCGTATGCCACATTGTACACAATGCTGGGAAAAAGGGACAAGTTGCACTAAAATTTAACATTGAGACTGTTGTTATCAAAACTTACAATTAATTTAGTAGTAGTACGAAAAAACAGCAGAACTTGAAGAATGTTACGTGTTCTGCGATGAAGAATGGTAAGAATTGTTAAGGTCAGTTCCCGTGAGATGGTTAAGCTTAATTCCAACTATGGAACGCCTTTTAAAACACTTCGCACCAATTAAAGCCTACTTTTTGACATCAAATTCCCCTCCACCAATTCTAAAACATTTTTTTTGAGCATGAATTAGCGGAAGCTTACCTAGGATTTTTGATGAATGTAGGTCAAACAATGAATGGTACAATGAGCCCCTTGCATCAGTTTTTTTATTGCTGATTTCGTTAGACAATGAAAAATAAGTCAACACGTGTTTTTTCTTTTTCGTGTTAGTCAAAAATGGACGGAAATACAACGCTTTGAAATCTACTTATGACGTCATGAGGTATAATACTTAATGACGTCGCACATGCTCAAGTAGCCTATTGGTAAAATGGAAAGCGAAGACGCTCTTCTCTTGTGGTTGGACATTCTTTCAATTATGGAACGATTAAGACAAACATTAAATCTAAAAAGGACTCAAAATTCTGTGGCTCTTTGGCTTCCTCTATCATTAGAAAATGTGACAATCAGTCGGCAGTGACGCAATTTGAGAAAGAAATGGATGTGGAAACTTTGGAGAGCTAAAAACAGATCAAAAGTGGATGAAGTTTTTTGAGAAGTATTCATCAGCAGTGAATTTTGAAAAAAGATGTAATTATAACTTATCAATACCGCATTCCAATGCTTCTTCCGAAAGAATTTTTAGTTTGATGGTGGTAGCATGGAGAAAACAGAGGAATCGCCTGAATATGGACACACTTGAAGCTGAGTTAATGGTGAAGAACAATTTCAACTTAACTTGCACTGGGTTTATTAAATTTTTGAAAACCGATGATGGTAAAAAATTACTTCAAAAAGTCAAAGGAAATTTGAAATATTGTATGTGTTTGAAATATATTTTTTTTTTTATTGGAATGATATAGGTTCTTTTAAGTTGTTAATGTTTTTCTTTTATTTTCGTTTTATTCAATTGAACCCGTTATGATGGTATTACGTATACGGTAACTATGTTTATTTTAATTTTTGTTTCTATTTTTTATTTTTTTGTTCAAGCCTCTATGTTTTTATGTTAGAAATTATATTTTCTTTTTTAAATGGGAGTTATTTATTTTTGACTCAAACAAAGCAACTAGTAAAGCTGAAGTAATAAGTGTAGATGGGCTCTAAAAGACATAAAATAATATAGGTATGTAGTTTATTTGGTGCGCCCGCGGCGAGCTTTCGTCTGGCCACACGGTCACGCTTTTCCAAAATTGAAATCTGGCAACCCTAGTCGCCCTCAGGGCATAATCATCTACTTAGTACCCTTGATTCATAAATAACTATTATTAATTAAAACAAATGCGAGAATTTTTGCGCTTCGGGTAGGTACTTATTCGTTAAGAAAAATTATTTTCATTTTTATTATTTTTTTTGGTACATGATGTGAGTAATTTTTTAAGCCTCATTCATGTAAAACTTCGTTTTAAGTGGGCGGAATAATGTTCGCGCATAGCTCAATTTCCAAACTAATTTAATTCGTATACTTGATTTTAAATTTTGGCGCCATATAATTTCAAGTTTTATATGGCACGAGAAGATTCGATGCGCTTCCCAGAAATCAGCGCACCAACCAGATTAAGACAGAGATCCGAACTTGTCAGTTGAGTTTTCAGAACCCTAAAACCGATCCTTTGAAATTCACTTGAAAATTCCGTTAGAAAATCAACCTCATAGTTTTAGAAGATATTTTTAACCTATTTTATGTGATTGTGTTCGTCAAAGAGTTGTTAGACCATCCGGGTGCACCTGCAGGAAAAGAAAACATCGTTGGAAGAACACAAGTAAGTGCCTCAATTTTGTTTTAGTATGGCTCGGGTTCAAATATCATAGTTTTTATTTTTCGGCAAAAATTTAAATGAATCAACGCGTTTACGGTCCCGCGGCTCTTATTATCCAAGATAAATCGAAATTCAACATCAAACAAACAAAGTGGATTAAGGATTATTAATCCATATTCGTTTATTTCACAACTATTATTTCTTAAGCCTTGTTAAACGCGCAAGCGCAAATTGCGTTGTGTCGTTTGTGTCTAATTTCATTAAAGGCAATCAGATGACGTACTTCTTAGGTTTTTTCTTGAAGTTAGCAACAAACTTCTTGAATCCGAGATTTATGATGTTTATTTCACATTTGAGATAATCCATTTTAAGTCCAATCCTAAAAATTTGGAGGATTGGATTAAGTACTCCGATCTGGATAAACTCTTTAATCCTGGGTGTTTATTTTAGGATTATCAATTCCCATTATTAATCCAATCCACCTAGTATCCGGATACAACGCGTGAAGTAAACGTAGTCTTTATCGATTTAAGTTACACAATAAACGACGCATTAAAATGTGTGTGTATGCACACAATATAACATATGAAATTACACGGGTCGTAGGTCATAAAAGATAACTTTATAGAAGGGATTTTATACTTTATACGTTGTACTATCGTTAAACTTTTTAAGAGTTTTGTTATGGTTACTTATAGCTTAAATTTGAAAATAAAATTGAAAAGTTGTGTGTGTAGATAGTGAGGAGCAGGTAGATAGGATATAGGATAAAGGGAGGCAGACTAAAAAAACTTGTGTCTAAAATGCATACTAACGATGGATAAGTTAATGTAATATAATATCTTTGACTATCTCTAGGTAAATATTTCTATTGCATTTCTTTATATTGATTTAAATACAGTTTAGTTTGTTATTATCAACAAAAAATATCAAATCCGTTACGAACAGAGGATTTTTACGTCCAGCAGCAGCGAACAGCTCTGGCAACAAATCCGAGGAAAATTGATCGTCAAACTTCCACCAGTTGACGTTAGTCTTAAATCTTTATACGAAGGACCGCATCTGGGACTCCAGTAACCGTGCTAAAGGCCATATTTAAATTCCGTCCTGGATCCGATCTTTACCGGTCAGTTTCCGCTGTTCGTTCCCCGAAAATATGCTTTTCCAGAGTGCGAAACGTGCCAAGAATGCCCGATTAACGCTCCACTTTGCTCGGTGGCCATCAAAAAGGACGTCATTGTCGATAGCTAACGTTGATGATGTATTTTTGGATTAGTTTAGTCGAAATTTGAAAGTTTGAATGAAAAATGAGCAGTTACCTATGTATACAATTTGGGCTTATGAGTTCGTTTTTCCAGAAACTATTAAACTTTCACATGTTGGTTCAAATTAATAAAAAAAAAAAAAAAACGATATTGAAATTATGTATTCAATTTTTCGCTATAGCGAGTACTTGAAACTGAACAAAGCCTAGCAAATAATAACCAATGTTTATTCTCCAAAGAACGTGGAAAGATTCAGCAATTCGTTACACTGTTTCCTATATCCCATATTGAAGTCAAAATAGCTTACTTGAAAATATAAAAAATAGAGATAATAATTATTGATGTTAATTAGTTAATTCACCATATTTTCTAATTTGAAGCTAATGCTAAGAAAACAAACAAAAAAAATTTAAAAAAAGCTTTTTTCTACAACTGTCAAAAAATGATGATGTTCGCACACTCATGACAGTTTGTGAAGTGACACTTTTTTTCCCAGGTATTGATTTTTTAGCGTTCCCATAACGCCGTGCGCGAACTAGATATTTCGCACACTAGTGCGCGAAATAGCTAGTTCGCACACTGGTGTCATGGTGACACATACCTGTCAGGAAACCAAAAATAAATAAAATTCCCCTACCTTTGATTGAGAATCTAATTTTGGCTTCGAATGATCGATATTTAAATGGATTTGTAGAAAAAATAATGTTTGCAACTCGGGCGCGAAATACTTTGGTAATCTCGACTATTTTTTCAACTCGGCTGCGCCTCGTTAAAGTAGCATTTCGCCCACTAGATACAAAAATAACTATTATTCCAATAAAATATAAAAATGCACTAAAAAGAAAAAAATAAGTTTTTGCTATAATAAATTTACTAGTAGAAAAATAAAATGGTTTGAAATAGTAACTAGGAAAGAAATTTTGGGATCACAAAGGGTCTGAGCTTATCAATTTTGTACTTAAAATGTATTTCAACCAAAATATATCTTTAACGTTTTTCTTCACGGTATTTCTGTATCCGTTTATATTGGATTTAGGATGACGTCACTTAATTTATTGTGTTCAGCTCATCAAGCCTTTCCATTTGATACCCATATATTAGGAAACAGTATCAGGACATATATCCTGTTCACAATCCGATGTCCACAGGTTTTTTATCACCTTCCCCTATCAAATAGCATTGGAAGGTGATTTTACCTGTACCTACCTGTGGACATCGGATTGTGAATGAATAATACCTGAAAGTACGTTAACCAGCAAGTCAAGTTGTTGAATTTAATAAAATCTTTTCAAAAACAAATATTGTTCTAGTTAATCCGAACCACAACAATTTGGCGCAGTCGGTAGGATCATGAACATGGAACAAATGACGTCCTCACAACTTTCTTGAAGAATCAACAAGAAATTCTTATCAAAAGTCAGCAAGATTTTTTGGGTCAGTTTTCATCCAATTTCCAAAATTTGACACAAAATCAAGTCAAACCAAATGAAGAGTTTCGGATGGAAACCCTGGGTGATAATATCACAGAATTTCATTATGATCAGGAAACAAGGAGCACTTTTGAAGTATGGTACAAAAGATATCATAGCCTTTTCACAGAAGATGCAATAGTATATTACATACCGAGTAGGGAAGTGTTTCATTACTGTCGAGAGATTTATATAGTCAATCGAGACGCGAAGCGTCGA